GATTGTCTAAAAAGGTTGAGATACGACTTTTCACCATTCTTCTTTTTTCCTTTCCTCTTATCTAGAGAAGGATCATATCCTAAACCGAACTTATCAGAGATGTACCTTTGAGCACCAAAAATCACCTTTGGCATTTCACTACCCTTAATAAATTTTTCTAGAGTCTTTGTTAACTCTTGGTTTTTCTTTTCAACTTCAACGTACTTTGCATATGGTTATGCAGTTTCAGCTTCCTGAAGTTATTTTTCCAAAATCTTTACATTGTTCTTAGAGCTTACTAACTCCTTCACAACTTTAATAAACTCAGAATGTAAAGTATCAAATTTGGATTGTAACTCATCATAAGTAAATTTAGACTTATTTACCCCTTCTGTCTCTAATTCTTTTTCTTATGCCACGAGACAAATATTGGTAGTTTCCTCTTCATCACTTTCTTCTTCCTCAAAGGAGCTAACGCCCCATATAGAAGACACATATGCTTTCTTTCTTCTTATCTTTTTCCTTGTTCTTAAGCATATCATGGCATTCAATCTTAATATGTCCCAATTTCTTGCATTCAAAATAGATTATATCTTCCCTGACTTTCTTCTGAGAAGAGGAGGAATTTCTCTTTGACTAAAACTTTCTGCCGACTCAATTTTTGTGGGACTTCTTGAACTTCTTCACTGTGAGGCCTATTTCTTCATGCTCCAGCTCTTCTTCATCCTCATCATCACTCTCATGATCCCTTTCTTGGTTTTCTCGTTTATTTTCTTCTTGTATTTCTATTTGCTTTCATATTCAGCAAGACTTCCCAAAAGAGCAGCGACAGACCATATAGATTTTTCTTTTGTTTCTTCTATAGCTGTCACCTTTGGCTCCAACTCCTTAGTAAGACCACTGAGTATCTTCCTTACTATATCTTCTTAGTTGTACTTTTTGCCAAGTGCATTTAGATGATTGATGAGGTGTGAAAATCTGACTTCCATGTCTCATATGCTTTCTCCCTCCTTCATTCAGAACAACTCAAACTCTATAGTAAGAGTATTGGTTCTACTTTGTTTAACTCTAGTAGTTCCTTCATGGGCAATCTTAAGAGCTTCCCACATTTCTTTAGCTATTTCTAAACTTGAGCTCTAAAATATTCCTTTTGACTCAAAGCATGTTGATTGCTTTATTGTTGAGTAGAATTAGCCTCTTGTCATCATCATCATACTCGCTTAGTGACTTTGAAATGCATTAACTATTTTCAACCTTCATAAGAACATAGTTCCTTTTCTGGATCATGTCCCAAAGTTTATACTGTGATGCTTTTATGAATATCTTCATCCTCATCTACCAGAAGGTAAAGTTTTTACCATTAAAGCCTAGTGGCTTTGTTGTTAAACTCCTATCAAGTAAAATTGAATCACCAAATCCTGTCATTAGATCTTTGCTCTTGAAATAGTTAAGTCTTCTTCGAGAGACCTACTCTGATACTGGATGTTAGAATAGCAGTACGTATAAGAAAGGGTGAATTGGGTGTAAATGAAAATGTTAACTTTGAAAAACAATAATAATAATAAAAAGGAGACTGAGTTGGAGAAATATCATGGAAGGAGGACAAAATTAAAAAAAAATAGGTGCATAGTAATTTATACTAATTCGGCTTAACCACTTGACCTACGTCCATTCTTTAGAAGGCTTCTGAGAATTTCACTATATTCCAACATTTGCAATGGGTTCTTGGCATCTCAATACAGCAATTGAATACTCTCAATCATTCCCCCCTTCCTTCCTATAAGGTTACAATCCACTCAAGATTTTCACAATCTTGAGTACTTCTCAAAAGTGTAATAAATGTTAAATATGTCTATATCACAAAGTAATAAATAAACACTAAAGCTTGGTATGTAAACTTTAATAAAAACATAGCACTAAGGGCAATAAATTCGATAACATGATTGTTTGTTCTCTTGTCTTGTTACTCCATTGAATACTTCATTTATTTGTAGTTAATCCTCATTAACTATTCATTAGACTTGAAGCAATGTTACCGCTGTGAAGGTAGTTGAAGACATTGGGATCTTGTAACGGTTGAAGTGCTTTAATGCTTCTAACAACAATGTCTTAAGTAATGTCATTGATCCTACATTAATCTTGCCCAAGTATGTCATTAGTCAATCATCGTAGTAAAATAAAGCAAATGATAAAGTTTAATTAAGTTTCCAACTAGTAATCTTCAGATAGTTAAAAGATCAAGCATTTAGTACTCAAGAGCTTTTAACAAAGAGGTTATCTATAAGCTCTAAAGACTTAAAGAAATTAAGAGGACTATTGCCAAACTTATTGATAAATTGAAGACTAAAAACGCGCAAAGTTCTTGCATTTATCAATAAAAGCATTTATTGATAAATATCAAAGAGAAAAACTTCAAGAAATCCATTTCAAAGTTAAACCAAACAAGTTGTCAATAAGTTTATTGATAAACAAGATTATCAATAAACTTACTGATAATCATTATTGAAAATCTTTTTTTGAAATTATAAAAACTAGTCTTGGAATATATTATTGATAATGGATTCGATAAAAGCAAGACTTAAAAAAATTTCAAAACCTCCTTATTGAAGTCTCTAGGGGTGTTTTACAAGATGGAAAGTGCTTATTAAAACGAAACACACTTCTCCACATATTTATTTTGTATATCGTAAAAGCACTTTTAAAACCATGGTTTGGCTTACATCCAAACACCCCTTTTATCATAAAAGGGGATTATTGTTAACTTTATCAAAAGGCTAAAGACAAGAAGAATGCAAGATATCTGCATTTATCAATAATCTTATTGATTATTTATACTAGGAAAATAAACAACTTTATCTAAGACCTTATCGATAAGATGTTTGCAATGATACAAACTTAGCAATATTTCAGATAAAATCTTATTGGACATTTTATTGATAAATAGAATTATCGAAAAGCTTAAGAGATCTAAAAATGCTCAGCAAATTATCGAACAACTCATCGACAAATGAACTTATCTATAATATTATCGATAATACATTAATTCAACTTTAATGAAGAAAGAGTTTTCAACTTTGAACTTTTTGTCATTATCAAAACTCAAATATTAACAATAGTCTTGCATATAATATCAACATCAACTCCTCAATTAAGTCTTACATTAAGGACTAGATGAGTATTTGCTTATGGACACCCAAGTCAAGTGTCGTAAATATTAAATTGTATGGATATCCATGAATTCTCCAACTCTTGGCCTTTCATATCCCACACTCCATAACCTCTCCAATGGATTGTATTTAGAAGCTTTTTTTTTCCATAACTTAGAAGTTAGATATGATGCACTTATGTGAATTAAGATTGTTATTTATTTTATCTAACTATCGATTGATTTTGGAGGCCTATAAATAGAAGGCTATGCAATATACTTTTTTGGAGGTCTTATCACTAAGAATATACTCCATGCATCTTTCTCTACAATTCTCTCGTGTTGCTTATCTCTCTCATTCCAAATCTCTACTATACTTTTCTTACTTTCATAACAAATTAGTAGCATGAGATTCTATCGAATGAGTTCATGACGTCTTGCTTATACTTGTTAATTTCTGTTCATTGCATAAAGGTATATAAATTATTCTAGATGGTGTGATAAGGTTTTTTTTTTCCAATTTTTTTAGAGTAAATATGGCCTTGCAATTTTAAACAAAGTTTATACCTTCACGCTCAAAGCTTGCAAAGAAGACTCAAGTGAAGGAGTAGCGATAAGAGTAGGTGGGGAGAGAAAAGAAGATGACATCTTCTTCAACCTCAACACAGCAAGAAGCGAAAGACAGGTGGCGTTGTTAAGGCATCTGAGTCAAGAGTTAGATTACAAAGGACCTAAGAGATCGGCATGGACTAAAGGGAAGCTAGGCCGGAGGTTTTACAAATGTTGAAACTACTGCCAGGTAATTTTCTGCGCATTTTCTCGATCGTTATTAGTGTGTTGTCGTTGTCGAGTTGTGACATTAGAGATGATTATTGATAGGATGGGGCTGTGGATACTTTGCTTCGCATGATGATGACTTTGGTGAAAGGGCAAATTTATGATAAAGGAGCTTCTTGATGACATAGATAAGCTTTATGATGAGAACGGTCTGCTTCAAAGAATGAAGGATGGTGATAAGTTCTATAAAGAGTTGATGACAATCCACGGAGAGTTATTTGTTGGCGATGTGTTGTTAGTTGGCGAGCATCTACTTTAACAAAACTTTCATGGAAGAATACTACTAAGCCTGGTTTACCATTCCTATCTAGTTACCTTAGAGTTTCTGTGCTTTGGATTCATAATTCTGATATAAGCAAGCTGGAAGAGCATCATGATTTAAATATCATCTGGGTTGATAAAGTTTCTTTCACCATGAAGGCAACTTATCATCGACAATTTTCAACAATCACTTGGTGGAAGATTCTAGCTGTTCTTCGTGATTTTAACATTCTTCCTTTCAAATTAATTTCTTCTAATGCACTTTCTAATTTTCTAAGAAATAGTCTTTTTGCTACGTGCTTTAGCATCCTGTAAACTATGTTAATTTCAATATATCATTTTGCCTTTCGTTAAAAAAAAAAAAAAAAAAAAGGTATTCTCGCAGAATTTTTCTAAAAATAGAGTTACATCCTATGTTTTATTTGTAGAAAGATCAATGTGATATATTAATTAAATTTAAAAAGTGTATATTTTCAATTAGCAAAAAATGCATGCAACTTGATGCCTCGGTGAAAAATAAAATAACTTTTCCCATGCATATTAAACATAAGTACGAATGAATATAAATTAATAAAATGTAAGGAAACGAGGTTTGCGACTCTTCTAACGTAAAAGAAATTTGACTTCAAAATTTGAAAAACAATAATTGATTACTCAATTAATATTACTCTTAAAAATGGTTTGATCGTAGTTGTATCTCAACAAGAGACATACTTGGGACATGCGACTTGACAATAAGGAAAATAATTGCCAGAAACAAAACATGTTCATGAGTTATTGTGTGGCATCGCAGGGTAGAAAGCTGTTATTGCCGCCAAAATGAATCATCAAGTGCATCCAATTACAGCACTGAGCAATAACTGAAGAAAATCTTCTTGTAAAAACCCCACCTTTTGGATCATTCCTTTACCCTATAAGCACCTTTCATCTCAAGAACGAGTTAGTTTTGTACAGATTATTCACATTCTCTGTGTTCCTTTACATAACTTAAGACCATGAAATATGCCTTGTGCTTTGCTTTTTTTTTCCCCCCCCCCCCCCCTCCCCCCTCTCTACCAAAAAGATCTCACTTTGTATGATCTCTTGCCAGGTGAAAGCCTAGCAAATTGGGCTCATCTCCCACGTATGATCAATCCTATATCCTCTGAAGTCTGAACCAATGTTCATCTGAAGGAAAGAGTGAAAAAGAGAAAAGAGAAGAGAGGTGAAACCCACCTTGGACAATAAGGTGAGGATTCTATAGAGATAGCCAGTATTTCTTTCTTTATCTTCATTTCAACAGAAGTCACTTTGGATGATCCTCTTCAGCGCCTTCATATTCAAGTTGTGAGGAGACTGTTGTGTCAGAGGTGGCATCATCGATGCTTAAGGTGGAGAATTCACCACCGAGGGAGGAGATTTCATCTTCTCCGCTGACTGATGGGGCGGGTGATGCATCAGGAGTATTGGTGATGGTGGTAGCTGGTGAAGGGAATGAGTCCGCATCTTCGCCTGATTGTTGCAGACTCCAGTACATTATACTGGCTGCAAGAGTCAGGATCATCTTCTGATTAACCTGCAATAAGATCAAGAACAAAGTTAAAAACTTTTGCCAAAGAATCAAGGTCACAGGAAGATATTAGGAAAGTTAACATTTAAAGATTTTAAAAATCAAACTTCTAGTGGAAGACAAAGTAAATCACTCAAAAAGTTTTCCAAAGTTGCTACAATTTGAACTTGTAATTTTAAGAAGCAGCACTAGAAACTTCGAGAAACACTAGTAATTTAGGGAATTACAGCTGATAAATTCGATCCTTTATAGAAAAGGAAGGTGACACCACCCCCAAAAATGAAGACAAGACAAAGATCTGGCCATAACCATTCACGACTCAGACCCCGAAAAACCATTCCCCCTTTACAACGGTGAGCTGAGTTTGTATAGAACCCAAATTATCTCTAACAGAAAAATGGATATGATGCTTATCAAATTAAAGAAACTGCACATTCTACTTGATCACGCAAGAGAAAAAGTAAGGCAAAATATGAAGTGCCAACCGACTATGCAATGAGTCAATTAAAACTCGTTAAATAGGATTTGCGCGTGGTCATGATGAGATTCACTGATACTTTGACTTTTAAGAATTTCTTTTGGTTTCGTGCACCTAGTGATATGCAAGGAATGACCTAAGAATTTCTCTGCAAACACTTCCTAATATTTGGAAGATGTCGATAGAAGAACAAATCTGGCAGCAAACGTACCTCCATAATATCCTCAGGTAACAAAAAGATGGAACAACCTAGCTTTCGAGCAACACTGATTATGTAGGTAGCATTCAACTTCTTCTCATCATCTAAATTTCCAACAATAAAAGCGTAAGACCGCAACCAAGATTTGAGGATGCTATTATAGAAATAAACATTATCATATAATGCACACATTAAATGAAAAATGACCAGCTTTGGGAGAAACTATACCACTTGCACCCTTAGCAACAAGATTCCAATTGACCACCCTAGGCTCTACAGCACTGAGAAGCTCAAGAAAAAAGATTCCACTTGACAAGCTCTTATCCTGTGACCAACAGCATCCCAGAAAGGTCACAAATAAATAAGCATATATCAGAGTTGACGGACATAATTGCTGAAACTTAGAAAAGGAAATCCTAAAAACCTTAAAACTTTCTATGTGGGAAGTTCTCCCAGTGCTCTTCACTTTTCTGTTCGCCCATTTCAGGATATCAGCATCAGTGATCTCCCTTCCTTGGGAATGAGATCTCAAATTTTTCAGTAGTTGAAGCATAGTGAATCTCATCAATTGCCACAAGAAGGCTGAAAAAAAATATATATATATAATGCATTGATTTTAGCAAAATATGAAAATAACTGTATCCATGAGGACTTGAAATTCAACCGTAAAGCAATAGGACTTAATTCCTCATCATACGCTGAAATTAGAATTTTTTTTTTTTTAATCATTTTGCTTATTACTGTGCACCGTTAAACTTTCAGACAGTTGAATGTGAAGTCAACCAAAGACCTTTATACTGAAATCCCACAAACAAAGCAGATGATGGAGGTAATTATGTTTTGTCACAGGAACATGAATTCCCGCTTTTGACACTATGAAGTGAGGGTTGGAGTTGAAGGCTCATTCCAAGGAAGACAAAACTGCAAAGGCTACCAATGTTTTTTTCTTTCACCTCAAAACTTTGATAAACAGTCTATATCCATATGAAAGGTAAATATAAGATAGATATTAATAATAAATGAAGGTAAATTAATATAAGTTGTATACAGTCTGACTCGGGAAAAATTTATGCAACAGCACTCAAAAGGTAAGGAGAATATGGCTGTTCAATGAATTGAATAAGTTCACAAAAGTTTTCAACAGCCCATGAAAACGCTGTTGTACTAAAATATCAACTTAGCATGCCAGCAAATAAACAGAACATTTGATCTGTCAAGAAGAAACAGAGGAGTTCTATCTCACTCGGTGTCCATCTAAAAACCACACTAGGCTCCTCTCCCTATCTTCATTTCCTTTTCCCTCCTTCAAATCTGTTGGAAGGACTCAGTCAAACCAATGGGCTCAAAACTAGAGACATGAAAAAGAATGAGATGCCAAAAAAGATATAAATTACATTAAGGCAAATACTGTCCATGATTCCATAAATTTAAGTTTGAGAATAAAGGATTACCAAGAATTAGCTTCTTATTTCCTTGCACAATGTCATTGCCAGCTATATTTACTAGTGAAAACCTCAGTTGTTTCCCAATTTTTATGACCTGATTGCAGTTCTCTACTTTTCTAAATGGCATCTTAATTGGAGGTCTTGTTGCATGTTTCCAGTCAACCGATCCTAGAGAAATCTTGTCTAACACCTCCAGAAGCATCCATCTGTTTGTGAAAGAAAATAAATAAATAAATAAATTGATAAAAGGGCACTTAAGAATTTAGTGATATTATATACTTAATTTGGATATCCTAATTTCTATGAATCTCCTGGCTGCCAAAAAAGAAGTTAATCTTCTGTAAAGCGATAGCAATTGAAGGCCTCCATGGAATAAGATGACAAAATAAATATCTGCCAGCTGGCTGATTTCCATTCGATTCACTGATATCCTCAAAATAAAATGATTTAATTTTGACTAGATATAGTTTAGAAGGAATGGATACCCATTTCTGACATCCTCAAATACATTATTTACGTAAGTCCCAATTCCAAGACTATTGATCCACAGCCTGAAGCATCTCTCTTCTCTAGACGTTTGCACATCATCTGTCATCATCTCAGCATAAGATATCTTTTTATTGTCCGTAGATAAGCCACTCCTGCAATTGCGTATGCCCCTAATTAATCATAACATTGGTGATAAAATAAAGGGAAATAATTAAATCTCACACTGCTAGACCAAACTCCAATTATATGGGGTTCTTTAGGTCATTGATAGAGACTATGTTAGTATAAAATGCTTAGACCCAAATTGATGTAGTCCGGGATATATACGAGGGTTGATGCTCTCACTTGGATATCTAGCTTTTGAGAGTGTGTTCTTAACCTCACTTGAAATCCTATCAATGGGGGGTTGGGACAGTAAGAGAAGGCTGGCCAATGCAGGGAGGACCATTTTGGAGTCGTCTCTGGGGAGTGCTATGGCCTCTTGAAAGCCAGAATATTTTTCTTCATCTTTCTTGTTTCTTATCGGTTAAGGACGTTTTAGGAGCTGGGTTTTGATTTGTATCAGTTCTGGAAATTTTTTGAGCATTATAAAACGTGAACTTTTAATCATCTTATTTATGCTCTGGCTGCTTGGATGATCTCTCTGTGTGTGGACTGTAAGGAAGTCCTATCATATGCTTCTATGTTTTTGTTTCTCCATGCTTGCAGGCAAAAACAGCATGTGCTTCTAGATGGATTACTCCATGTGTATGGCAGAACATGCCTGCAGCTTACCCTAACTGAACATTTAAAAAAAAAAGAGAATTATGCAGTATATCTCAAACCTCTGATGAAATATTTGGGCCACAAATGCAAGATTCAGATTTGAGGAACCATCCACGATGTCCTTGGGTGTCAAGTATCTCCTGCAGCCCATTCTTTCTGCATGATCAAGCACAAGTTCTGCCCTTTGAATGGGATCCTTAGTATCCAAGGTTGATGGATTGCAATGTTCCGGAGCGAGGACATTAAGCAGATAAGCATAAGCTCTTCCATCCTGTAAATATAAGGCCGGAAATAAAAGGAAACTCAGTTTCTAAAGCCTTCATTCAATTTCAAATTACTAAGGTTAAAACCCCCATGACATTATTGGATTTTAAGCCTATAAATAATACTCCCTCCGTTCCTTATTGTAAGAGACAAATAACCAAAGTACATCGATCAAAAAAACAGTTAAAATTAGTTGAGGACAATTAATATGTAAAAAGTATAATGTTTTTTCCAACAATGCCCTCATTAATAAGGAGAGAGAGTATGAGAGAGAACAATTAAATTATTAAAAGAAAGAGAAGTGGAAGGGAGAGAGAGTATGAGTTGGAGTCAAAATAAATAGGGGTAAAATAGGAAATCAATACAAAAAAATAGAGACAACTTTTAAGTGTCTCTTATATATGGGAACATGTTATAAGCATCAAATGTCTCTTATAATAAGGAACGGAGGGAGTAAGAAAGAATGGAAAAGAAAATAGGAGGGATGGACATGTATGATGATGAATTTCTGAAAGAATAAGCATAAGAAATTTTGTTTAATAAATAATCTCTTATACATACCATATACACATACGTACGTGCAGATAAACGTTTCACGTTTCACCATTCAATAAAAATATCACCTTCACTGGCAAGGTTAATTAACAGAGAAGTAGTCGTATACCTTCACATCAGAAGAAAAATTTTTAACGTATTTATCGTACCCTCCTCTCTGGAGATGAAAATTCATCCATTTTAGTAGAACCTTTTCAGGAGGCAAACTAAGAAGCTCTTCAACCTCCTGAGGCAAAAGGCAAAGCATATAAATCAGTTAGAAGAAACAGAAAACATCATAGTTAAATATTAGAAGTTTCTATTGAATCAAAATGCCAATAAAACCTTCAGCAAAAAAAGCAGTGTTTATATCTTCACCTGGCTATCCTCTACCAATTCAACAAGCTGAGGTGTCTTCTTAAGGTTTAGATCTGCCAATAATTGAATCTGAAATTTCCAGAAGAGTGAGAGAGAGAGAGAGAATCAGAGGAAAATGATCAAGTAATCATTTTCTAAAGCCTATAGAATATCAGGCCCTATAAAATTAACTCATTCTCAGCTTATGGAAAACTTAGATAAGTAATCTTGAAGCAGTGAATACTATATGAAACTCAAGCGTAAATACCTTTATGATCTGGGAAATCAGCCCTAAAACAAGATGAGGCTGCAATGCAAAACAACAAAGAATAATGTTACCAATACTTGAAATCAAAAGTTAAAAGGCTTCTGCACTAAAAAAATAAATAAATAAATAACCTAAGCACCAGAAAAAGTCAATCATAATCATAATTGAGAGCCAAGCTGGATAAGACTCACTCTTCCTTCAACAAGGTCCTGTGTACCAATGTTAACTACAGTGCAGCCTATAGCCTTGGCAGAATTGAGGCAGAGAGTATGGTTTTCATTCCTCTCCCAAAGATTAAGAACTTTTTTGGCATTGATGGCTCGCTCATCTATAGTCCCAGGCACAGCAACATTGATAAGTTTACTGCATCACGCATGGCATGTCAAAGTGAGTACCTACTAAAAGCTTTATGACAAAAGCAAACAATGCATAATCCAGCAGACCCTGCTTATATACCAAAGAAGAACTCCATCTTTTGCAAGATCAATTAAATCACTGGTAGCTGGGTCTAAAGGAAGATATTGACTCAGAAACGGGTCATCACCAAGGTAGCTGTTTATATGAGCAACATAAGATGCCTTTTCTGATTCACTGATGGTGTGGAGAAGGGTGGTTGTGGTTGCCTTGAGGAATGACGAAGAGTTCTTAGTAACACCTTGTTTTGATGTAGCTAGGCTTTGCAAATTCAAGTATACCTGCATAACAAATGCAATGAATTGTAATTAACGTTATAGAACGGAAACTCCTGTGTTGATTAATAAAACAGCTCAAGTGTAACATACCACTGACTTACCCTTAAGAAAGATTCAAAATCAATCTCATCGCTCAAGTCAGGGCTTTTTTCACCCAAGACCCCCTCAATCTCCCCCTCAGTGTACATTTCTTTAAATGCTTTTAAATTGGCCATTAGAGGCGGCAAGTCTGCATTTGTAACTTTGCCATTCTTATTTTTTAATGCCATAAACTGCGGGACACAAGAAAGAAATCAAAAACAGAACCGCTTAATGCATCATATCATATTTAAAAATGAAATTTAAAAGAAGATCCAAATGACCGTATTACACGAAAGCAAAGAGATGAACTTACTTTTGATTTCAGGCTGCGAAGTTCAACCTGCGTAAACTGACTTTGAAGCCATTGATCGGAGACAATAACGCCCACAAAATTTGACATCTCCGTGTATTACCAACGAGGAATATGGGCCAATGAAGGATACAAATTGTACCCCGAAAAAGAAAACTTCCAGAGAAGATAAAAAATATATATATTCGGGAAATGAAGAGTTTGTACTATCCAAAGACCTGACTCCAGATCCAGTCATACACGTTCAGGTGCAAATACTCGTGTAAAGAAAGATATAATAACAATGTAGGATCCCTTGCCAAGCATGAAGTAGTTTTCCTCCTGCAAGTCACCAGCCTATCCAACGCAACCTAACACAGAGCACAAACAAAAGAAAAGCTAATTTAAGGAAAAAGAAAAGAACAACGATAACTGATGCACAAGGAGGGGGGGACAGTGGTGAGAGTTCGTTAGTTAGATTAATTATTGAAAGGCCAGACTTAATGTACAGGAAAACAAAAGACCCGCAAAACATTCCCATCAAAAATAGGAAACAAATGCTCGGTATCCGATAACTATCTTCCAACTAAGATTCTTAACAATGCTGCGAAGAACCCAATGAAACCTGAACAAATTGATTAACAACGAAGCAAAACTCAACACTGTACAAATATTTTTTCCCAATGAAGGACGTTCACAACGAATCTGTCAAACCAATAACAAGAACATCTACCCATAAAAATCCAAGATGCAAGCTATCTGTTCGACTACGCACCATTAATTCAATAGTAGCACATTGAATGTAGGAAGATGAAGAGGCAGAAGAGGGAGAAACGTGAAGACAGAAAGAGACAGGATCGAATTTTCTTCGTGGGAGAGCAAAGTGCGAGATAAGGACGTCGTGGAAGCAATATTTTTGCTTGGGACCCCTGCGCCGAGTGTGACTATGCGAGGAGATTGATTTCATCATTTCACGTCGATTTTTGTTACGATCATCGAAGCCGCGAGAGTAGAGAAAAATTCTGCGCTCGCCCAAGTTTTCTTACAGCTCATCCTCTTTTGGGTGCACTTTTTTTATTTTTTCTGAAACTGATTTGAAAGTGTTTAGAAACATCTAAAAATTTTTTTATTAAAATGAAACAAATTTTTTTACATATTTATTTTATATACTGTAGAAATATTTTTAAAATTATAGTTTAATTTTTATTCAAGAACTTTTAGTTCTTTTTCGGAATCGCAGGTGAGCAATTTGATGAAACTACACCGGCCATCCGCCTAAGGCAAATCATTCAGATTTTGGAAAATCAATCGTCACTACATTTACAAAAATTACCATATTTATAAAAATTGTGGAAGTTACCTTGCTTACCGACAGTCACCAGAAACGACATAGCACACCTCACACAAATATGCTTATCATAATTCTTACTTAACTAATTTGATTATGCTAAAAAAAATTAGATAAGTTAGTTAATTATAAGAAATATAAAATAGTTTTTCTAAAACATCAAAATCATCTTTCTTAACATCTTCCTTTCTTCTCCTACTTGATTATAGTTGAAGGAGTATCAATAAGGATAATTTAAAAAAATAAAAAAATATGAGAAATTAGTCTTATATTTAGCATCAAAATCAACTCAATGCTTACATCAAGTTCCTTATATCCACATAGCCATAAATATTAATATAATACCTTCAGTAAATTAGTTATTTATAATAAATAAGTATTGTCTTTCTTATAATACATACTAATTATATATATTGTTTAAAACTAATATTTGATGGAATCTTTAATATGTGTAACTACTATAAGGACTACTTTTAAAAAAATTGATAAATATAAAAAATAAAATGGACTGAAATATTATATTTAAGAGTAAATTAAATATCAAAATAATTCTTATATTGAGGAGCGGCTCCTTACAAGTAAATCATTTTTTGAAAACACGGATAATTCGAACCACAATGCATCATGAACAACCAAACACCATGTAATTACAGTGGTTATCTCGTTTTGCACTTTTGCGCAATAAAAAATCCATATCAAAACGTTTCTAATTAATTTAAGCATTCTGGTTGATTATAAACAAGGAACCCAAATAAAATAAAATAAAATAAGGCACTGAACCAGCCGGTTCACCAGTACAATTTGATTTGGGCATTAAACTAGTCAAAAGTTGAACTGGTATCAAACTGATAAAAGCCTGGTGTAAACCAGTGATAAATTAGTTTAAATAATTATGTTGCTGTTAATCTTCTTTTTCATTCAACTCCTAATATTTCAGTCATTGTAGACTTGAATGAATTTTAATAATGATTTTGGTATTAATGATTAGTAATTTTAATCATTGATTAATCATAGAGATCAAAATTCTCAATATTGTTGTACTTTGTTATTGTTATAATCAAACTATTATTATATTTCTTATATTTTGTTATTGGTGATTATTAATGTTGTTATCTTTTATTATTTTCAATTAAAGTATGTTACTTTAATATAACCGGTTTGATCCCAAATTGACCATAGTCTGACCAAGAACCTTGAAGTACTATCTCACCCCAGTTTAGTGTCCAGTTCAATGTTTTGTTCATTAATTATAAATCAATCCAATTCTTGAGTTTTAATTCCAGTGACATAATTTTGTTTTATTTTTACGACCCAGCAGCTTTTATAATTTCTTTTCTAACCCACAAGAAAATTGAAAAAGTGAAATCAACTAAGCTAGGCACATGGAAGGACATGACAACTATATCTCTTGCTGGTAGAATGATGAAAAACGAGTACGAATAAAGAAGAAGAAATGACGACGCTGAGAACGAGAGAGAAGAGAGTCAGCCAACAGAGTGGCTTTGGGGAAAAAGAATGGAGGGTTTAAAAAACAGAGAGAGGTGATTTTGAGGGAAAATGTGGTTATTTAACAACATTTATAAATTTTTAATTAGGCCTCATAACCTGATTAGAGATTTGTTAAAAGTATATGTTCAAATTGAAATTTTAGTATTTCAAATGGATTTAAATAGAATAGGATTTCCCCTAATATAAGTTAATGTAATAATGTAATGTTAGAGGAAAATGGGTCAACATAATAATTTTTTCGGGCCAAGTATCAACATAATAATTAAAAAGACATACTTAACTTGAAGCAAAATAAAGTAATAATAATTAAACGATGAAGGTCTCATAGAGAAATTAGATTTTTTTATTTATAAATAAATTGTATGCCAAAAAATGTAAATATGAGCATTTTCTACTACCCATTTCCATATTATATTCATGAGGAGTTTTAAGGCTTTTTGGACACCCAAGGCATGCAGCAAATATATTGAGGGTAAACATGGATCTAGCATTATAATTTTATCTTTTTAGGTGTATTATTTAGTATCCTAATTTTTATGATGCATTCGGCACTTTTAATCTTATTTTTTTCGTGTATCTAACACATTAATATTACTTATAGTGCAACTAGCAATAAAATTAGGGGTGTTGGGTTCACTTAGAAAATAAGTATAGGATGGTAGATACACCTTTACTCATATATTTAAGGTTGATGCTAAAATAAATGGAGAAGTAATTGTAAGGATTCTCAATAACCATTTGACTAAAAGAACTTAGTTGATACATTGAGTTAGATGAACGCCTAAGGGTATATTTGCATTAGCAGTAGTAAAAGTGACTTTTATTTTATTTGGCTTTTACAAACTTAATTTAAGATAAAAGAGAGTTTGTATAATATGATTTATATTTAGATTTAGTTTGCCAAATTGAAACATATTTGAATAATTAACAAAAATCAAGTTTAACACTGAAAATGACATGAACTTCATTAAATAAGGTTTATGAGGTGATAATTCTAACAGAAATGTTAAAATCATAATTATAAAAATGAAAAATAGTTAGTGTATTATAAGGAAAATTTTGCAATTACTAAAAATATTTAAATTTTATTTAAAATTGGAGAAAAGTCCCCATTAAAAATTTAATTGGTAAGAAAGACTTAAATGAGAGTATTGGACATTAGCACTAAGTGGATACAAAATTTACAAAGTACCAATATATCTGTATATAAAAGTTTATCAAGTTTTTTTCACCAATTAAATTTCTAATAAGAGACTTTTTATGATTTTTCCTATAATTTATTATTTAATTTTTCTATCTTTTAGATATTGTAAAGATCAAATTATTAGGTATTTTGGAGAAAGGACTTGTTTGGTTTCTTGTTTTGAAAACAATTTTTTTGTTTTTAAAAACAGAAAAACCAAAAACTTGTTTGGCAATTTGTTTTTAGTTGATTGTTTCAAAAAACAAAAAAATAATAATATGTTTTTAAAAACTGAAAAACCAAAACAACTTTTACATTTTTTTTTGTTTTTATTTTTGTGTTTTTTATTTTTTATTTTAAAAATTAGAGAAATTTTTTTCTCTTCTCCTCTATCACTATGATAATAACTATCACTTGTTAAAATGTAATTTTTTATTTTTTTTCAAATGTGATTTTTTAAAAATTATTTTCTAAACAAATCTTTTTTGGTTTTTTGTTTCGAAAACTTGTTCTTAAAAACAATAAAATTGTTTTGAAAATAAAAAAATAACAACAAAAATAAACAGGCCTTTTATCTTTTCTCATTATTTTTTACCTCTCAGGCGGTGAAGGCATCGAAAGCTTATCTGGTTCCGAACATTCAATGTGGCCTTAATGTGTTTTATCTCTTCAACGTACGATGCAGTCCTCACCATGCTTTGCCGGACACGTGCTAAGCCCCTTTGGCCGGTGGGAAGAAAAAGAGGATCTTTCTTAAATTTAGGTGAATACTGGATCTGAGCCTAAAAATGCGAGAAGATTTAGATTTATTATTTTCTTGATCCGGCCACAAACAATACTTACCAACTATCAAGAACTATTTTAACAATATTGAAACTTTGATGAGAGCTCTCTGAAAAGAACAGAGAATCATTTGCATATAAAATATTATATCCGATTTTTAATATAAAATCTTATTTAATTTTTATTTTAGTTCTAAATATAAAACACAATCCACTTTATTTTTTATATTTATGTATTTTTTTCTAAAGTAATCTTTCTAACTTAGTCAATATGCTTGATTAGCAAGAATATTTTAAGAAAAACAACACATATCTATTACAAATAACTAACTTAACTTTTTTTTCTAATCTCCTTAAATTAGTCAATTAACTCTTATAATTAGGACTGAAGATAGTATTAATTATTCACACCTCGGGAGATAATCAAAACCTGCGGGAGCTAAAGAGATTTTGGCATGTTAGCGTAATTACTAATTTATTTAAAAATAATATAATAGGACCTTTTCTCCCATAGAGTGTAAGAATAAGACGTATAGTACCAATATGAAGATGAGTATAACCTTGAGCTATCCATTCATTAATCAAAAGTTGATGTATGTCAATATTGACATATTGTTAAGATGAAGAGGCAGGTTGGTTCATATTTTCATTTATACTAAAAAAAAAACCTCTTCTGATTTCTTATTATAAGATTCAATTTTTTATTAATTTATTTTTTTTATAAGATTCATTTTGAGTAAATATAAACAATAAATACATTTTTACTTATTTTATTCTTAACTAGTACACTCACTTTCATTATCTTTTCCTATACATTCTCTTTTATCTTTTTTTTTCCAACCCATATACTTAAAAAAAAATTATATTTCCTACATATTTATTATTTTTAATTAATTTAAACAGTTTTCTTAAACACAGAATTTTATACTTATGCTAAAATAGAAGACTTTTAATCAATGAGTAACGGGGAGAGGAATTCTTTGGTACCATGTCATATTACTCCTTGGTGTCATGCTATCAAATGCTACCTCACGCGCACGCTCAATCCCTCACTCTTCCGATTCTCCGGACCATTAATTTCCCAGCTCTCTCACTCCTTGTTGCCGGACTCCCCTCGTCTTCCAACCAAAAGTAAATATTTATTATTTTTTGCCAACAAATATTTACACATCAAATAAAATTTAATGAT